TAGCGTCCTGCTGCGAAAAGTTAAAAAACAATCAACTTTTGGAGGGACGCAACATGACATCACGCTGTGGGTGTCCGGATCACGTAACCGGCGACCCAGAGCTGTACAACCCTGCTATGACGGAACAAAAGCGTAAACTGTGCCGTTTAAAGTGACGCAACGCAACGCCGGCTTTGCTGTGAATGCGGCTTCATAGCAGGGAGACAGACCAAAGCTGTGCCGGCCGGCCATAATCTCCACTTTAATGAAACTAATGAATTCCAATTAAATGAAACACTGCTTTGATTTACTTTAATCCAAATTATTTCTGCTTTTTTTTTCGAAATAAATCTAGAACACAGAATTTAATTAGGAACCAGAAGAGATTTACAATTCAGGTCTGACTTGGAGCTCGTGAGTTTCCTCCTCCGCCCGATGAGATGATGCGTTTGGTTTTGCTCGATGCGCTCTGCTCAGCTCCTCTCTCTCTCTGGAGATATATAGCTCTTTATCGATGCTAATAATCCACCGGTCCCCTCCCGACTTAACCTGTGATTCACCTCGGAGTGCATGCAGCAGAAATATTCGGTCTATTACTGAAAGCGCTGGGAGTCCGGCCCGTTCTCCCCCCATCCGTCATTACAGCCGGAGCAGCCAAAGCACAGAGGGCCGATGAAGCTAATTCAGATATGATTAAGGGAAAAAAGAAATGTGGGCAAAGGATGAATCAACTCGCATTTACTAAGAATTTGGACTCCACATCGGCGCAGATACCCACTACATAGTCCGAACACGTGACACACACACATTTCCCAGTCTGAGGAGGAGGGCTCATCTCTCTCTCTCTCTCTCTCTCTCTCTCTCTCTCTCTGGTCTCTGTGCTACTGGATCAAAGGCTAAAGGAGAGGAGAGGGCACAAGAGGGAACGCACAGTTCCTCCCTTCTCTCAGGACTTCTTGTTAGAAAGGAAACGGTCCGCTGGTGCTTCCTCGCATTATCCAACATCATGCTGCAGTGTGTGTCCACAGCTATAGTACGGTGAATAGAATTATCAGAAGGTAATTGAAGTGGGGCAGAGAAAGAGTCCATGAATCAGGACATGTATTCTGTCCTGAGGACCGAATGAATGCATCATCTGAGGTAAACATACAGAGGGCAGAAAACAAAGATAGATTCTATCAGAACTCCATTTGTTCCCGTTTTGCTGCGTTCTCCTCCAGCCTGTTCTCTGCTTTATGTTCCTGCCGAGGGTTATGCTCAATACGTCACGTGTAAAGTATTCAAACATTCCTCAAAACAAACTTGCAGCTGCTGCAAGAGTTTGTGTTTATTTAACTTAGATCTATTTTTTTTCTGCAACTCAGTCCAATTTGACTTTGGGGAGAAAACTAATTCTAATTGAAAGAACTCATTATTTTATGTTAACAGCTAATTATTTGCACTTTATCCTAAAACAATGAACATTATTATGAACATGAACTTAGTTTAGATCAACACTTGCTATTGATTTTAATGTATAAGATCCTACAAGCAAGATGTCAAAGACAAGTCCAAAATGTAATCTTGATGTAGACATCGGGAGACTTAAACCTCCCCTGAGGTCTGATGTGGCTCCTCTAAGTTTTAATTGCTGGTTTTGCATCGCATGAAGCAGGTTAGAGCAGTAAAGGTAGAAGACACCGTGGGCTGGGACGGCATCATCAGCCGTAAGCCGCCGTATGAGAGCAGTGCAGGGCGGCGGCGATTGGCTTGTGGGACACAACAGCATGGGCGGATCATGAGACAATCGGCCCCCATGGGGACAGACATGCAGAAGCCCCAATCACCCCTCCTGCCTAGGAACAAGACACACACACTTTATAGTTGTGTAGCCTGTAGTTGCAGTTGTTTTGTGACTGTTTGAGGTCATTTTGAATTCTGAATTCCTGAATCTCTTCCTGGTCTCTTTGAATAACTTTTTGCAGGTGAAGGCCAGAGGGGCCCCTGACACTTTGGGCCCCTGGGTAGGTGCCGGTAGACCTGTTCAGTGATCCATCCAGAAACTCACATGCACGTGTGGCCAGAGAGGCTACGTAAACAAAGCACACACAGAGGTAGACTGAGTTCATCCTCTGTTCAACATTACTCCACTAAATCTTCACACAGCAAACAGCTGTTTGATGCTATATTCATCTTCTGAATTTGGAATATAAGACCTTGAAGGTCATGGAAAAATTGTTATGACAGCTGATAAAAAGGTGAATATTAATTTCTGGTCTGTGACAGGACAGGAACACTGGGCTCCTGTGTGAAAGTCAGACACTACTTCCTATCTCGGCACTAAACACTGATATTCTATGGATGTGATTCCTTGAGGTCATCGCATTGAAACGACTCGATGAAAGATGGTTTTCAGATACACACAACATCGTTCATGTGTGTAGTGATGGAGGGCACAGTTGCAGCTTCCAGCTCCACCTGGTTTTGAAGCAAATACTTTTCTCTGTTCCATCTTCTGGGCTAGAAGGGCAGAAAAGCAGGTTAGGAGAGGAGTCACTGTTAGTATTACAAATATTCTGCACCTCCGTTATATTCTTACAGGCCAGCATTGACGGTAGACTTTCAGCAAAAGTGCAAAAATCAGTCTGACTTACCCTTTTGTCACTTTATCGTGGCCTTAGAAACTATTTTGAAAATGTCAAACAAGCTTTGCAATTCAGCTGAGTTAAATGATCACATTTCAGCGGTGAAACCCTGAACCTCCTGACCACCCTGGCTGCATGCAGATTATGAAATAAAACAGGGTGACCTTATAGCGGCGAGAGGAGTTTAGAAAATATAAATCAATGGTGGAAATCGAATCAAAAGGGCCATCTAGGCCTGTAAATCCTCCCAGACACGGCAGTTAGAGCCACATCACAGTAACATCTCACCACACAGACTTCAATCTCTCACTGAGAAGCTTTATTCTGATCATATCTCCTCCGTTTAAATAAACATCACAAACATCACACCCACAAACAGAAAGACTCAGCAGAAGATGAAAATGATGATGCTACTTTTCACTGGTTTGTTGGTAAACTAAGCACAGGTCAGATAAACTAGAGAGGGGAGTTGTGGTATAAAACCCCAGAACAATGATTTTGATGTTTGAGGCTTTACAGGCACTGCTGTACATTGGCTACTCCAAGTGGTAGCAAGTGGTAACTGTTAACCTCTGTTAACACACTGAATCATCAGAAGATGAACTCCAGTCAGTGTGTTCATGTTCACTAACTCGACCAGTCTGAGATGTTTCCTCTGAGACCACGCGAGACAGTAGAAGAGTAGACAGACGGAGCAGCGAACTTCTGAAAAGACTCATTACCTGACAACAACAGGAGTCACATGTACATGCAGTGATGTAAACTGCTGACTCACTCATTTAAAAAACAAATATATGTATCATTATCTAAGTGCCTGTTTGGTCCTCTATGCTGAAGTTTGAGCTTTTGTCTGTCGCATATCATTTTTGGACCCGGAGGCTCTCTGACAATAACATTTTAAATGAAATTAAATTGTTTGAAGAAATGCTAAGATTTCCAATCTGTCACCGTAACGAACAGCGTCCTCTGTTATCAACATCTCCGTGTGTGTGTGTGTGTGTACCAGTACACATGAATATGAACACTTGCAATGCAGCACAACTATTACCAGAGTTGGATCAACACCAACAATGTAAAGAAATATGTTGCATGGCTGTTATATTAGACTGCATTCAATTGCACCGATTTGTTATTTTGTATTTTTTAACTAACTCCCCCACAAGAAGCTACCGTCTTTATGCCGACTGTGGCCGCTAAATTAAATTCGGATAAATAGAATGCGGTGACTGAGTGTTTGCTTCTCATTCGAGGTTTTGATGTGTTGGTTTGTGTTTGTTTAGAGAGGTCATCACTGTGTTATTACGTTAAACCTGAGCTCCTGGTCTGCAGTGTTATTGATCCATTGAAATATATGTTGTTTATTTTTGGTATCACCTTAGTTGATTTTGGATAGATTGTGTTCACAGGCCGGCCCACATGTTCTATGACATTGGTGGACAAAATAACAGAAACTTTGTGTATGGTGAAAACAAGAATATAATATTATGAAATGACCATTAATAAAAGACTACCAGAGGACCGACTGCAGACTCCAGGCTCACTATTGCTGTAGTTTGTTTTGATTGAATGAACTGCTCATTAGTGAGTTGGTAGTGTGTGTATGCACCATCAGATCAGACGGTAGGGGCCCTACAGCCTTGTAGAAGGGCCCCAAGTTAAAAATCAATGTTATTATATTTCATACATGGTGGATTTCAAATACAATTTTTGCACGGTCTACACAATAACAAAGAGTGAGAGAAACAGCTGCCCTGACTCGTATAATATGACGCTGACTATAAACGGAACAACAATAAACAGAAAACAGCTGTGGATCCACATAAAGACCTACAGTGTATATATCTTATTCTTCTTATCGTGAGATCAGTGCTGCTTACAGTGACTCAGATGCTATAAACTGTAACACAAGAAAAGATGAGTCTTGTCCAAACCAAAGATCAGCAGCATGGAACACGTTGCGATGTTTTATCTCAGCTGTCACGCGTCCGTTTGGCTCTTTTCTCTTTGTTTTAAATTGACTCCAGTTTTATAAGAACATAAATGTCCTCGGTGGATACATATCGTGCTTTCAGGCCCTTTGGCCCCAAGTTGTTTTGATCGTGTTCCATCGCTTTTAATCATTAACTCCAAGCGGATGAAGGACGCAGGGGAGTCACAGCGGGAACAAGTTCTGATCTATAAATTATTATTCAACTATTATATATTGTTATGTATGTCAAACGTATAATGAGGGAGAATGAACATGTTTACATGCATGTTTACTCTCGGGGTGTTCACATCATATTTTAGTGAAAGTTTCTGACCCTCCTCCCGTGCGCAGCGCTGCTGGGCACCTCTCCAAAAAAGGCGTGGCCAGTGACGTCTCCAAAATCGACCAAACCTTAAACCTGGCACTTGGAGAACCGGGGAGGGCGCGAGGGAAGATATTAATGACACGCCGCCGGGAATGGAGACGCTCTTGTGAGGAATAACGCGGAGGAATAATCGCGATGTCCGTTTGTAGTTTCACTTTCACGCGTCACGGGTCTTGCTTTTCCTGCAGCAGCGAAGGCGCTGAAAACCGACAAAAGTCCAAAAACTAACAGCTGATCTCTTCATCCCCGCCTGCAACAGAGACTCAGGTTTGTGACACCAAAGACTGTGTTTTTCATTTATAACTTTTCCATTTAGAGAAGCGGAGAGTTTGACTGCGATGCGTTGTAGAGTTGACGTGAACAGTGGCTTCCACTCCGACAGGTGCTCGGTTCCTGAAGGCATGAGGTCTGGTTCAGCTGTACAACCCAACGCGGTGCTCTGCAGCTTTTACAGTATTCATCTGGGGAGTGATTTTGGTGAACTTACTGTAGAACGTGCAAAAGGTACATTTGTGTAGAAACTGATTTTTCATATAACTGCAGGTGTGTAAATATTAACCCGAACCCACCCAGGAATACAGGTTCATAAAATCAATCCATAACCAACACACTTGTATGATTTATATAGTTTATTCCAGCACCAATAGGGAAATGCATATTGATATGATAATGTTTTGTGTGATAAAAGACGCCATAAAGCTCCACAGAGACCAGAGATGTTGACGGAACAGTCTCACCAAAAACAAATCCATTTGGGGGTTCTGGATCCTTTAATGGTGCCACACAATCATCCTCAGCAGATGAGGTTAAATTGTCCATATTTATCAACACTTTTCTTCCATGTTACCTTAAAACACAGAGTAATATTTCTACATATTACAGTGAGTACCGTTTTATATGGCTGCATCTTCTTCAGTGTCTCAGAGTCGGGCACCACCAGCAAAATGGAAAAATACTTTTTTATTACAATTTTTTGTTTCACTTTAGAGACCTTAGCCCAGTGACAACATGCATTTATGAAAGATTCGGGACAATTGCAGGGCTGTAAATGCTGATGCCGATGTTTTATTTCCAATTTCAGAATCTTAAATCCACAAGACGTTGAGTGTTTTCTGACAGAATCTTACTTGTAAAGGATTGAAAAGAGTGTGTGACAGCTAGAACCGTTTTTAATGAGGATCGTTTTATGTAAGGAGCGTCCTGCAAAGAACTAGTTGTAAAATATATATATATATATATATATATATATATATATATATATATATATATATATATATATATATATATCCCATTTCCATTGCATCTAATATCCCAGTGCAGCCAAATAAGGACGACAGTTCCATCCAGGATCTCTCTGCCTCTGCACACTTTGTGCTCTGCTTCAAATCTTCCTCTGCAGCTGATGTGCATCCAAGGTATGAAAAAGTTAGCAAACCACAAGACAGCAGGATTTAAAACATCCAATCCGATCGGTCAGTTTTCCTCACAAAAGAAGTTCATATTCATTCGATTCCTTCCATGAACTTCAAAAAGAGACTTTTCATGTGTTTTTTTTAATTTGAGATTTTTATGAAAACCTCCCTGCAGGCATTCACATGAAGTTCCTTCACAGTTATTTACAACATTGCTGTCTTTTTGTTTTTTTACGGGGATATTTGGTTTGCACTCTAATCTTTTGACTCCGCTGGTGATTATTTTATCTCGACAACAAAAGGGACCCTATCTGCTTCTGCTCCCCGTGCTCTGCATGCCAGTGAGGATGTGAGCCTGTCGCCCTCCTCTCCACAGCCTTGACACTGCTTACGGTGTAATCACAATCTGGCTGTTGCTGTAAATACCAGATTCCCTTTTTTTTTTTCCACTTGCGAATAACTGAGCTGAGGGGGAGTCAAAAGTATATGTGTGTGTGCGTGGAGGGGAGGATGGAGGGAAGTCCTGCCGTTACCAGAAATACAAAGTTGGAGTCTTAAGCACATCCCCTTCCGTTCTCCGGGTTTCACCCACGTTGAAAAGCATTCCAACCGGCCGGCGCCGGAAAAAAGTTGTCAAGGTCACGCTGCTCGACAATTCCAGATACCTCCTCCGCTCCATCCACAGGTCGTCCATCACCCAAAGATACCCGAGTACAGAGTGTAACTCAAACACGTTTGTTTCCTCACCGCGGTCACCCTCATTTGGTGTTTCCAGGCAGGTTAGCCAGCAGAGGGAGAGGAGGGTGTCGTGCCTCAGTGGTGGTGCAGTCACTGTGAGCAGCATCGGGGTGTAATCGCACTAAACACGTCGAGCGCTGCTCCTTTGATCTCTGGAGCGCTCTCTGTATCATTCAGGTTGTGTTGCAGCAGTTAACCGTGCACCTGAAAAGGTGCCAGACCTCTGCTGAAAACGGATGTCATTTGAGCCACTTTTGCTTCTGCAGTAGATTTCAGAAACGTTGCACATAAAGCTCTGTTGGTCAACGTGAACTTGATGAAAACCGTGGGATGGTCACTGATGCTCACAGCTGCTTCCTGCTGTGATCCTAAAGTACTGTTCCACTAGTTCTGCATGTGGAACCTTGACTTCTTGATGTTTAACACACTCCAGTACAGAGCTGAAACAATGCCAGAAACACTAACCGGCAACTACTTCAAGCAGAGGAACCCTTCTCTAATTCCTGCTTCACTGTACAATCTCAGATCCAACGCAAAGGAATCGAAGAGACATTTTCTCAGCCGTTTATCTGTAAGTTTAGTCAACGTGTTTGTATCTTAAGTTGGGAAAAAGTAAACTGTAAGACAAAAAATGTAGTCTGCATCGGATAAAACTATCACTGTTCCATGACATGATACACTTTTCTGCAGACTGCAGGGGAGGGGGGATGTTATATTGTTTTTTTGGTGATTTGAGGACTTGGGTTGATGTTGAGGGGGTTTGTTCTTCATTGTTTCTTAGCTCCATTATAGCTGCCTAAGTGTTGGAGGCGTAGTGACACTGTCAGTGGATGTATTTGTTGTTTGAGAGCTTGTTTTACATTTCAACTGTTGTGACCCAAAGAACTTTTAACAGCTGGCGGCGCATGGAGGTCAGACATGGTTCTACATCAACGAATCCTTTTCTTCACGATATAAGAAACATTGCGACACTTACACCTTACGGATGGGCGATGCAGATCGCTGACGTAAACAAATGTAATGCCTACGTTACTTTAATCGTTCAGCTGCTGCAGATAATTCTGGTCATGTTGCTGCAAAATACTTCCCAAAAACACACTTCTGAGCTGTGCTACTGCAGCTGGTGTTGGTTTACGATGGTATATTGGTTCTTTGGACAATGATAGGTTATTGGATGATGTCACAGTCTGCTGATATAATTCATTGGCACGTGATCGATAAGAGACCATCTTTTTGCCCATTTAACACAATCTGTTACGTTCGACTCACTAAAAACTACAATAATATGATTTTACAATTGTATTACTGGGCTCTTCCAGACATTTAATGTATTCTTTTTAATGAAAAATAGCCCTATTGTTGTTGAAAGTCTGGTTGCTGGTCAATGCTGATGAGCTTGTCCACCTTAAACGTCAGTCCACCTTAAGTGAGCCTGAGCTGAAGTTGTTTCCAGCATCACTTTGATGAGCAGGCGAGTGACGAGCAAGACGTTTAGGAAGGAGGTGCACTTGGAGAGAAATGGTGAATGCCATGGAAATTTCAAAATAAAGTCTTGACTGAAAGATGATATGTGTTGGTGTTACTATCTTTGCGTTGTTGATATTGGATTGGTGATCATTGAATTGATACGTTGAGCCAGATTGACGGATCGTTAAACCCCCAATGTGTGCAGGGAAAACCAGATGTTCACAGCCCAATGCTGGAGTTTCAGGTGTCAATGATCTATCGCCAATAAAGACATTTGAATTTAAATGGATAAAATACGTTTGTAATACGGATGCTCTCTGATGCCAAAACTGTTTTAAAATGTCCTTTGGTTTAATCAAAGACTTTCATGTTGGATTCTGTTATTCCACAGTATTGTTGTTTGCATGTAGACGAGACATACCTGTCTGCAGGTAGACGGTGCAGCGGCAGTGACGGGTACAATTACTCCAAATGGAGACGCCGTAATCAGCCTGTCGATGCTGCTGAAGCCTCTCACCGCTGGGCTCTTCCCGCTCCCTTGTAATCTGTCCACCTCTTCAATTCCACACAGCTCTGCTCCTCCAGCAGCAGCTCCTTGTTGGCTTTGTGAGGCTGAGCGACTGGAGGAGTTGGGGCTGGCTAATGGTTTTTTCTGTGGGGGGTCTTTGTGTTTCGGTATGTGCTGCTGGCTCGAAGCCCCGTTAGGAGAGGAGGGCTCCATTCTCCTTTTGTACGCAAGAAATAAACAGGTTTTTTAATATACCGGCCTGCAAACCATGCTCTCTCCGGTGGAACGTATTGTATTTTCATTCATGTTCCTGTCATGTTTCATGCAACTCACTCGTGATATTTCATTGTTGCTGAATCCCGCTTTGTTAAAGCCCGAAGGCAACGTGCGCCCTCTGGAACTTTTCATGTGGCCGTGTTAAAACTGATGTTTTTAAAGTGCAGCTCCAGAAGAAGAGATTTGTATTGGTGAAGACAGACAGACTTTGACCTTATCTTCTATCTTCAAACATATTGTTGCAGTGTTAAGAGAGTATTTGATGGGCTCTCTCTGCAGGGTGTAACAGGTGTTTCATTGTTCATTCATGAATCACAATGGAGTGCCAGTTTGTTACAACATCTTTGGACTACACTTAGAAATACATGTAATAAAATGTACAAATAACACATCCAGCATGTATAGTTATTGCACAGACAATTTTTAAATTTGCCAGAGTAGAAAAAGTTCAATTTAAAATATTACCAAGTTTGTAAGCAACCATCAACCAGGAAGGTCAGTATTAGTATCTTCCCTTTGGAGAAGCTGGAACCAGAGAACGGTTGACATTTGTGCTTGTAAAGGGAAAGCTTAAATAATGAGTCAAGTTGACCCAATTCAGCGAAAAAGCCTCTCCGAAGGGTTACACGACGAGATAACAAGTCAACTTTCAATATTGCCATTTCCCGATTTGGATTTGTGTGAAAAACATTGCTGTGTTTCAGAGGATTTAAATATGAAGGAAAAAGCCCACACACTGTGTTGTTTACTGCTGGTATTTACATGATAGTCCTCAGGTCTATCAATAAGCATACCAACAGTACATTGTATATTGGTACAGTATACATAGATGTTTTTGTAGATACATTTAAATATCTCTTGTGGAGACGAAGCATCAGCTCTGTAGGCCTGTTCGTTTAAAGATTGGTGATAATATGCAAATTTTTGGTGGAATAAAAGAGAGGGTTGCATTAAGACAGCGTCCTTTGACCCTTGCCTGCCTGCTGGTTTGTCATGGAAGGCTGCCATGAACACCAGTCTGTCCAAAGTCTCAAACTTAGGTTAAACGTTCTGACAAAACACTTTTTTAACACAGTCGATTGGTAAAAGCCCAACGCTGCCCGCAGAAGTAAGTGAGGCGTTAAATCTTTTCGATGTCTTTTGACTCATTGTGCAGGTTTTCTTTAAGCTTTGGTTGGTGAAATGTTTATGTTTCAGGCTCTTTAAGCAACCTGTTACTCACAAACTGTAAATGTAATTATATAAATCTACACTGAGTGTTTACATCTGAGAAGGTATTAAGGTAGTTAGTTTTACTATAATTATTTCTATTATTGTGCATTTTGTTATTCTCAAACAGTTTATTATAGACATAAAGCCAGTCTGTAGAATCCACCCCCTGTTTAGTTGCCTGTTTTATAAACCTTGATGATGTTAGTTCAGCTCTTAAAGTTCAATTTTCTTGGTCACAATAACATTTTCCTGCCACAGTCTATGTAATTAACGGGCAACACTGGTGGTCAGTCTCAGTCGATTCTCAGTGTCTTCCAGACTTATCCGACAGTGAAAACAGTTGATCTTATCTGATGTTAGCAGCATTTCAATTCAGGGGAAGACTTCAACCATAGAGCCTCAAAGAAAACCAAACTAATGGTGCGAGTCACTTGAAATGTTCCATGATACCAGAGTTTACAGTACAAGCTGTGATGTTTAATATCAACACATGATGGACAACTGACAAAACTGTTTTAAGTCAATAGCAAATATATGCTATATGTAAATGAATCTGTTATCCCTGTGATTAATGACATGTTTGGACTGGCCATGTGATCAGCACACAATTGCTTGTGGGACACTGCAGAGGACACGTGGCTTGTGTCCTCCAAAATGAGGTTAAACAAGGCTGCAGTTGTCCGATGGATTCAGGGGGGGTGCGTTTTTTTAAATGGGACTAACACGTTGGCCTGTTTTGACATTTTCAGTCTAGAAAAGACCTGAGATCCAGCCCCTAAATTAGTCAAATTCGTGGCATGTATTCAGAGTGAACAGGTAAATCAGTGCATTGTTTTGTTTAAGGCCACTTTGACATGACATGTGTGATGCACATGTTGACTATTGATGTGATTGACCTTGCGACTGTTTGGCATGGTGTCTCCTGTCCACTCTGCAGTCACTTCACAAACTTCAATGCTTCTTTTTCTGCCTTATGATTAAAGCAGACGGCAACCTCCGGTTCTGAAGAGCGAAGCCAAAACCTGCATTGTCTCTAGTGTCCACCAGGGGGCGACTCCTCTGGTTGTATAGAAGTCTATGAGAAAATGACTCTACTTCTCTCTTGATTTATTACCTCAGTAAACATTGTAAACATGAGTTTATGGTCTCAATCTCTAGTTTCAAGTCTTCTTCACTACAGCATGATGTTCATTTAGTACATTATGGTCCATTTAGAGTCAAACAGACCATAAAGCAGGGGATGCTTTAGGGCAGGGCTACACAGTGATTGACAGGTCTCTACCAGAGACGTATACAGTGTCTCTACGTCACTCCTCCTCAGTCCAAATATGGTCACTTCCTGTTCACTGGTTGCAAAAAAAGAAGATGGCGACGGCCGTAATCCAAGATGGCGACGGCCAAAACACCGAAATCAAGGCTTCAAAGTCGCTGCCCACAAACCAATGGGTGACGTCACAACGACTAAATCCACTTCTTATGTACAGTCTCTGTGTAAAAGTAACTCCTTAAGGTGAAACTGTTACTTTTTATCTCTTACAAAAAAAGTTGAATTCATAAGCAACAAAATGTACCTTTTGCTCAATGCAGTACACAGGTGTTATTAGCTTTTGGTGGCTATCGTCACTAAGCTTTAAATATGCTGTGTAAGTGGCATTACGAAGTCAATTTTTTCATTAATCATCCTATAATCCTATAATAAATGGAGATAAAAAATACCCTAAACCTGCAAACTTCCCAGACATCTCAGCTGTATGTTCCTGCTAGTGATTCTTGGTGTCAAGAGGTTTACTGTGCAGAGCTGCCGGCTTCTTACACTGATTAAACAGCTGATGGCTTCTCTGGCAGAGTTTGGTTACCGTATAAGCTGCGTGAGGTCACACAGGTATTTATATTCTGTGTCTGGAACAAATGTTCATAGTTTGAATACACGGTTAATGAATACAGAGCTGTTCTCGTCACCTTTGACACGGTAAGTAAACTGTTGCTTCATTGAACCTGGCTCATCAAAGAGTGCACCAGCTTAATACAATAACTGGTCCTCACAAAGGGCTGTGGAAACATCTGACCCTTTCTGGACTTCACCTGTGCACAAATCTCAGATTAATGATTTCAATTACTAAGGAGCCCCAGGATTTTTACAAAAAACAAGATTTCTTTCATAGACGGCACAAAGTCGATGGTACTTGTGCGAGGACACCTTTTGTATTTTTCTCCTGAATCTCTCCCTTAAATTTTTCCTGTGAGGCTTTTTTGTAGAGAGGTCTAACTTGGTTTTATTATACCTTTGTAAATGCACAAACCTGTAATAAATTTCTCATTTGAGCTTTATGAAGAAGTGCATGTTCATGATATATCGGGAGGTGGTCAAGGAGAAATGGTCCTGGTTACTTTTGTGCTTTAGTATGTAACTGCATTGAAACAATCATCAAACGAAGTTAGGTTTAGTTTGACTTTTTCACAAACGACAACAATCAGTGCTCGCTGACAGTGTGAATGAACGTTGTGCATGACTTGTAGATAGTTAGACTCATGGCACCCAAAGTACCATCTCCAGCTTTTTGTGGGGCCGAAGCTACAAACCTGTAATTAAATTTAAATTTGGCCCCTGGTTCTTTCGGTTTAAATGCAGGAGATGTCCTTGAGTTCCCAGAAGGGTTCCTGGAATAGTTCCTTTTGTGGACACTGGGCAATAAATGTGTCTTGTTAAAGCTCGTTTTTATCAGATCTTGTCCACACGTGCTTCAGCAGGATCTCATTTGACCCTCTGACTGTGATGCACTCAGCAAAGACAACATCCCATTATCTTGTGTTTTCATGTGGACGCTCAAGGGTCCTCGCACAATAGCAACGCAGCCTGTTAACTCCCAATGAACTGAGCTCACAACTGAGTCGCAGCAGACTTCTAAAAATCTGACTTTTTAACCCAGTTTTAATTTGTATGTTTGTTTTTTTACCTCAAAATCCCCTGATCAGTGCTTAGTGGGATCTGGTAAATTGACTGTCTGTGTGTTTGTCATGTAGCCTTTGTTGTTGTTGTTGTTGTTGTTGTTGTTGTTGTTGTTATTTAAATCTGGATTTCATATTTTAACCACAGTATTTCTCCCCCTCTACCACAGGACTCGTCTTCACTAGAACATGCAATAGAGGAACCAGCTGCCCCATCATATTCATCATCACTGTGAAGGGTAGATTCCCTCTGACATGGCCTCCTCCCCCAGACTGGATGCTGACCCGTTACCGCTGCTTCAGCTACAGGAGGTGGACTCCAGCAAATCCTCGGAGAGGCCGAGCTCCCGCGTACTCCTGCCCGCCGTGTACAGCCCTTCTCTGGGCATGGACAGCCAAACGGTCTGCATCCCCTCCCCGTACACGGACAATAGCCACGAGTACAACCACGGCCACGGACCTCTAACCTTCTACAGCCCGTCTGTGCTGAGCTATGCCAGGCCGGCCATCACTGACAGCCCGTCATCTCTGTGCTCCCCTCTTAGCCCATCAGCCTTCTGGCCCTCCAATAGCAACCCCAACATGCCCTCTATGACTCTGCGCTGCCCTCAGCCTCTCGTCTACAATGAACCCAGCCCACATGCACCCTGGCTGGAAGCCAAAACCCACAGCCTGGCCAGCAGGTAGGTTTACTGTCACTGATCCATGGATGGATAAAGTATAGCAATAACTATAAATGATAATAAATTGTTTGGTGAGTGCCAGTTGGTGAGTGTGAGGGGTAAATGGTCAGAAATTGAAAACCTTCTGCCATTACTGTTCTCTAAATGGACCTCTAGAAGCCAAGAAGCTTTGTACCCCGGCTGTCATAAAACGCGTTTTGAGGCAAAAAACAAAATGTGGCTTTGTGTTTGGATTGGAGTAGCCTACTTAGAACTGTGCAGTCCAATCTAAGTATGTGTCCTGGTTTGGCTGCAATCTTCACTGAATTCTGCTGGTGTGTGCTTTTCATGTGCGACTAGTTCGTTGCAAGACTTCCATAGTATCTTTAAAGGAGCTGTATTTGACCCTCTGAGCATCAATATAGCATCAAACAACTATTTGCTGTCTACAGATATAGTGGGGTAGTGTCTACATGAGCAGAGAATGAAGTCTCTATTCCTCTGTGTGTGTTGTTATCAAAGCTTCTCCTTGCTTTTTTTGACATAGCCGGGCCGGCAGAGCATGCTTTTAGTGCATGTAAGTGCACGCGAGCATGTCCCACCGGTTAGCTCACGGCCGCCGCTCTGCGCTGTTCTCATACGGCAGTTACAGCTGATAACGCCGTCGTGACCGACAGCGGCGTTGTGGAAGCGTAGCGCCCACTCTCCGGTTCTCCCTCAGGTTAAAAACGGTCCGCTCTGTCAGCACTTTAGATGCAGTTAGCGCTGTTAGCGATGTTAGCTATGAGCTGCCGTGTCGCTGTAGGCCTGTTGAGAGGCAATCGAAATGCTTCCAATGTTGCATCTCATCACAAGTCAAAGTTATAATAATACCTAGATAAATAAATCAGGATTAATGAACATCAAACACAAAGTGAACTTCAACCACTAAAGATCAGATAAAACCTGATTTCCAGCTTGTGCTAACGGGCTCATGACAAATGGTAGCATGCAGAATAAAATCGTTGGATTTGCCAGTATTCTTGGACACTATTGTACCACATTGTAATGCAAAATAAGAGTGGGGGAGTGTCGTGCACATGCTTTAAAAACAATGGGAGACTGTGGTGGAGGGACAAAGGCTGTAATGACACCAGAGAGAGATGAAATGCTAAGGTGGTTTAAGTATTCTTCAGCTAAGATGTCCATTGGATGATAGGAAAGCCACACAGACTAGTGAAATTGTTGGAGTTGAAACCAGAGGCTGTATATTAAGTGGATGTAGTCATTGGGAGTCACTCGTTGGTTTGTGGACTGCCGCTGTGAAACCTGGAGTTCGGCCATTTTGCTGTCATCATCTTGGAATGCGGCCGTCTCCCATCTTTGCTTGTTTGCAACCGATGAATGGAAATTACCATATTTGTAGCAGTAACAGTTGATTAGGGATTTATCTCTTGCTCCGTAGTTGTACTTTATATTTAGTCGTGATCTGTGCTACTGTACCAGTTGGTAATCATAATGCCACTGGCCATGGATGATGGGTATTTAAACAGCCATTATCTTTCAGTGATGGGAGCTGTGCAGTTGACGTGCTATGCGGTTGTGAAGACGTTTTCAGAAGAGAGTAAACCTGTTGGAAGACTAATGACGGGTGGATGACAGGCTAAAATTCCAAAATGTCAAGTTGTCCTCTTTTCCACATAGTCTGTGTTTCTTCCTGCAGCTCCATCATCAGCTGTAACAAGCCGCTGGGGAAGAGATCCGGAGAAGGGTTGGAAGGCGTGAACTCCTCCTTGTGTTCATCTGCAGCGGGGAAAGCCGACATGCACTTCTGCGCCGTGTGCCACGACTACGCCTCGGGGTACCACTACGGAGTGTGGTCCTGTGAGGGCTGCAAGGCTTTTTTCAAGAGGAGCATCCAAGGTATCGAGTCTTTCTGTCCGTGATTATTCCCCGTCTATTCTCGCTCTGCTCCTCAAGTAATTCTGCAGTACGTCTTTTCTTTCCCCTCTCAGGACACAATGACTACATCTGCCCCGCCACAAATCAATGCACTATCGACAAGAACCGACGTAAAAGCTGCCAGGCCTGCCGCCTCCGTAAATGCTACGAAGTGGGCATGATGAAGTGCGGTAGGTGCTCCCCTGTTTAATTGGGGTCCTTGATGTTTTGTCGTCTTGCAGCTGTGAAACGACTTCAAGCACTGAAAGTGAAAAGGTGGAGAGTGTTACCCGTGTGCTCATTATGGCATTATGAACTTCTGTAAACTCACAGGATGGGAACCACTTAAATACCGATGTCTGATCATTTCCCAGGATGGATGTAGAGATCCAGCATATTGTCTACTTCTAAGCTTGAATAGTAAACATTTTAGAAATTATTTCTACATGGAAAGCCAGCTGAAAGTCAGGCTCTTTTTCCATTAGTCGTAAAGGAAAAGTTGCGATGAGAAGATGAATACCACTCTCATGTCTGTAAATTAAGTATCGGGCTACAGCCAGCCACAGATTAGCGTAGCTTAGCATGAAGACTGAAAGCAGGGGAAAGCTGCTTCTCAGCCTCTGTTCAGATGTCACGAAATCCACCTACTGTAAAGCTCACTAGTTAACATGTTATATCTTGTTTGTTTAATCAAAAATAACAACAACGTGAAAATCCTCTCGCAGTCGACCAGTTTCACAGATTTCCACCACAGGAGGAAAACGTCTTCACTTGGCTCTCTGCTCCTTGAGGGTCATGGGTTTATACTCTATCTTAAAGTGGAAACAGACAAATTAGCCGTAAATAAAGCTTTCAGTTTCCAGGAGATCGTACCCGGTGGCAGACGGACTACATGGTGAAAGCGAGGCTTATATGGAACAGATTTAAACACTGATGGCGTCATTGTTCTATCGCTATTAAATCGTGCAAAGTTAAAACAAAAAGATGCTCTATTGACACTTTATAAACGCCTCGCAACAGAAACGATAAAACAAAACATTTTATGTCTGCAATTAATTCCTAGTCAAGAGTGCTGACGTCTTGCTTCGCGTAGATTTGTCTAGCTGATTCCAGACGGTGGCCCTCTGCCCTTGAATGCAGCAACTTTGGCTCCACAGATTTCCAGGAAATTTTGGCTATCGCTATTTGTGAGAAGTAGTCTCTGACCTTGAGATTTCTTTTAAGTGTGTCATATTTTACGTCATGACACATTGAGTTGTGTTGATTACTCTGTGAATCTGGTCTGACCTTGGTTGTAACGCTGCAGCGGTGCTGGGAACCAGGCCTGTCCGCACATGTCTAAAGTGAGAAAAGAGTGTTGGATTGTGTTTGTGGATGCCTTTGCTCGACTGAAGGCACCGAAACCAGCTACCAGTGGACTCAATGGTCCAGTATCCAATGCATCTACGTTTTTAAGAATCATAGTGGATTTAGGTTTTGAAGCTGTTAGTAGCCACTGATATGAGCTGCTGGACATGAAACTGTCATCTTACATACATCGCATGTCTATTTCTCTTGCTGTCTTCATGCACCAGGTGTAAGGCGTGAACGCTGCAGCTATCGAGGAGCCCGACACCGCCGCGGTGGACTCCAGCCTCGGGATCACTCAGGCAGGGGTTTGGTCCGGGTGGGGCTGGGTTCTCGGGCCCAGCGGCACCTCCACCTAGAGGCACCTCTCGCCCCGCTCGCCCCGCTCCCTCAGGCGAACCATGCGCACCACTCGGCCATGAGCCCAGAGGAGTTCATCTCCCGCATCATGGAGGCGGAGCCTCCGGAGATCTACCTCATGGAGGACCTGAAGAAGCCCTTCACCCAGGCCAGCATGATGATGTCCCTCACCAACCTGGCAGACAAAGAACTGGTGCTCATGATCAGCTGGGCTAAAAAGATCCCGGGTAAGATCCAAATCCCGGCTTGATATGAATCCTTATTGCAGGACTGAGCCTCTTCCAACAAATCTAACCTCAGGCCACGATCGTGTGTGTGTGTGTGTGTGTGTGTGTGTGTGTGTGTGTGTGTGTGTGTG